CGCCCCCACGGCTGAAAGGGCGAGCATGTTTGGTGTGACGGGGAATCAAACCCGCAAACCTCAGATTGCGAGTCGAGCACCTTAATCACCTGACCATGCCGGGCCTCTCCACTTTTTTAACAGGGAAGATAGATTATGGCATATCTCAAGTATATCCTGAATAGAATAAAATAAGAAAATTAATGTTCACATTTTTAAATAATCCTCAGTATAGTGCAATGCTTCAGCAGCAGTATTTCAGGATGAAAGAGCTGGTAGATAGTTAATGCATCTTTTATAATTTTCGTTTTCGTATTCACACATTTAGCTGTCCAGCGCTGTAATTCCCGCATTTTAAGAAAACATCTTTTTCACCACCTTTGGTACAACTAGCATAACTACCAGTGCAACGTACAACATTTACTTCGTTGAAAGCTCTGATTTTTTATCATAACTACCAGTGCAACGTACAACATTTACTTCGTTGAAAGCTCTGATTTTTTATCATAACTACCAGTGCAACGTTCAACATTTACTTCGTTGAAAGCTCTGATTTTTTATCATAACTACCAGTGCAACGTACAACATTTACTTCGTTGAAAGCTCTGATTTTTTATCAAAACTACAAATGCTTCTCGGAGAGGAAACTGACGTTTTCTTGTATGCTATACATACGTGGCAGTTGCAGAAAGGTAGTGCACATTAACTAGCGTGTAATAGACGCTTTGGAAAGACGATTGTTCCAAGAAGGAAATGTTAATATGTAAGTTGAATGAGATGCGTTTCCATTTTGCGACATAATAAGTAGATATCAGCGATTCGTCTTGTCCGTATACACAGAAGCGGTCGTAGCAGAGAGAAAGGCGAGATACATGTAAATAGACAGCCTGTTAACAGCTTCTGACAATATCCAATTAATGTCCAGTTTTGGTTCAAGGAATCGGTATAATTAAACGAAGGACCTGCTTCTGGACTGGATATGCAATGCCACTTGATAAATCACAATAACGCATGAAAATACGTATAAAACGTCACGTTCTCGGGTCCAAAATCAGTTCTTCCCGCCGTTTTTTGAGGCCAGACAAACCTACACCAGTTCTTCTCGGCGGTTCCTGAAGGTAGTCAAACCTGTGTCAGATTAAACAGAAGAATGGCAGTCAATCCAGAACCTTCAGCACACGAACTCTTTGTAAGTATTAAATATTATCCTTGCTAGTCTAACAATATATATAATGGATTGTGTGCGAAAATGACACAATGATAAAAGAGAACTCAGTTGTGCATCTAGATAGATTTATAGCCAGTTTGGAAGCAGTTATAACCAGGTTGACTAAATTAAATTAAACTTAAATATGTCTGAGCTTACTGACTAATTTGTTTAGAAGGTTTAATTAATGATGAATTTGATGGATTTAATGTAGAACTTTTTCAGAATGATTTTGGAGTTATTGATGTGGAAGAATATTGGAACATTTGTGAATAAAGTGTTAGTTTCTTTATTCCAAACGTAAATTCCTTTAGTTGGTGGCCTGTATTTTCACTCCGCTACACACACGACTGTCTTCTTGGAATTTTAAATAAATTCTTTGTAACTTGTGAAAAGTCGATCCTAACGACTAGCCGTCTCGAAATCACTTATTTGTTACATATGCGAACATTTGTTTCATTATTGAGCGAATAGAATTTCCAAATAAATATATGTTATTAAATTTTATATCTTCAATAGTTTATTTCATTCAGAAAATTTCTCAATGTCCCTAAAAATTAGTTGACGAGTTTTAAAAATATATAATGAGTAGTAGTAGTAGTAGTACTCGGATTCAACGTGAAACAAGGCCAGCCATTATGGCGATGATAGTACGGGAAGTAGGTCTTAAGGCAGTAGACAGGAAATTGTAAATGGCTGCTAAACTCGTAAAAATGGGACAATGAATAAAAAATAGGGGGTCTCAAAATCCCCATGGATCATACCCCAGATTCCCCGAAGTTTGTGAAGTGGGAAATTTTTCGTTACTTGATAGTAACCCGGACGAAGCAGCTTTAAAATACATACATGTTTAATGCTCTGGTAGCCTATTGAAGGTTATGGTGGTATGATAAGACGGTGTGTTTGGTGGATGTCTAAATGCAACCTTAACGCATGCAATAGCCATGAGAAAGTAGTTATTCAACAAACCATACTACACAAATTTTATTATGTGGTTAAAATAAAACAGCTGAGGATTACTAGAGAAGCTTTAGAATAAAAACCAAATGTAATTCTTCAGAATTATTCACACATGGGGTCGTTAATAAACATTCACTTGAACGATATTGTCAAAGTGAATTGAAGTGATATGCACAGTGCACACTTGTGGTTGTTGTGGTAACCAGATCATAAACATTAGCGCTTGACTAGCGGACCATTTATTGTAATGGATGAAGGGATTTATATCTCTTCTTTTACACACAGTTCTTAGAGTTTTTAGTCTAAACACTACAGTTTTGTAAGTTGTTGTAAATAAAGCTGATGATTTGTACATTTAAAACATTTGAAAGAAAAGCCGACTTATGAACCTGCGTCTTTTTTAATTGCAATATCATTAATATCTCAATTACCAATTACATGACTGGTACATTTAAAACATTTGAAACAATAGCCGAATTATGAACCGCGTCATTTTTATTCACAATGTCATTAATATATAAATTACACATTACATGATTAGTACATTTAAAACAGTTGAACCAAAAGCCGATTTATGAACCCGAGTCTTTTTTATTCACAATGCCATTAATATCTAAATTACCCATTACATGATTAGTACATTGAAAAATGTCGTAATTTTCTCACAGTGGCTACTATAGTTTTTTTTATTCATTACCATTTTTTGAGAGGAGGGTTAAGGAGGATTCCAACATGGCTTATAGCCTTCACGTATTAACTTCTTTACTTGGCCTTTAATACTTTAAATGATGTGTTCTAAGTGTCGCTAAAAATAACATACATTCAAAACTATTAACTGTACTTAACTATTTAATTCCATTCTTTAATTATGAAACAATCGCATGAGAGAAGTTTCGCGCCGTCAATTTTTTTTTGTCCCGTTTTCATCTATTAGAAAGGTTAAACATAGTATACTGGCGGGAGAGAACCACTTAATATAATAATAATATATCAGAACATTTAGAATTACAAAATAACAACACTTCCAGAACAGTTAATCACACTGTCTACTGGGGGAAAGGAACCACTTAATATAATTATAATATATCAGAACATTTAGAATTACAAAATAACAACACTTCCAGAAGAGTTAATCACACTGTCTACTGGCGGAAAGGAACCACTTAATATAATAATAATATATCAGATCATTTAGAATTACAAAATAACAACACTTCCAGAACAGTTAATCACACTATCTACTGGTGGAAAGGAACCACTTAATATAATAATAATATATCAGATCATTTAGAATTACAAAATAACAACACTTCCAGAACAGTTAATCACACTATCTACTGGTGGAAAGGATTTGTTTGTTTGTTTTTGAATTTCGCGCAAAGCTACACGAGGGCTATCTGCGCTAGCCGTCCCTAATTTAGCAGACTAGAGGGAAGGCAGCTAGTCATCACTACCCACCTTGGGCTAATCTTTTACCAACGAATAGTGGGATTGACCGCCACATTATACCGTCCCCACGGCTGAAAGGGCGAGCATGCTTGGTGTGACAGGGATTCGAGTCGAGCGCCCTAACCACCTGGCCATGCCAGGCTGGATGGAAAGGAAACACTTAATATAATAATAATATATCAGAACATTTAGAATTACAAAATAACAACATTTTCAGAACAGTTTATCATACTGTCTACTGGCGGGAAGGAACCACTCAATATAATAATATTCTATCAGAACATTTAGCCTTACAAAATAACGACACTTTCAGAACAGTTGATCATACAGTCTACTGGTGTACATACGCGCTTCCTTTTACTTTTAAAACCAGAGCATAATGTGCATCTATTTCATTTATACATACAAACCCTTTGTTATAACTTGTGTGATTATAACTATATGAACACTATGCTAATGTTCAGATGTTATTATCGATTGATCTTAGATCCAAAGTAACCAAAAGCGCTTGCTTGACCAACGTAAAAAAATTACCCTTTTATTAATATGAATTCATTTTCTATTAATTTCTAAGGTTATTTCTATATTTTGTGCTCTTGTCGAAAGCATTAAGAATTTAGAGAACATTTGTTTTTAACTATCATTAAGCTTTAGGCTACCAATTTTTGTTTTATATTGCACAAAAGATTTTTGAACTATAAATAATAGTTGATTAAGAAAGGAGTTTTATGTTCATTAATCTCGGTATGTTTGTGTGATTATAACTATATGAACACTATGCTAATGTTCAGATGTCATTATCCAATGTAAACTAAAGTGTGTGATTTATCCAACGCAAATAAAATGAGTCTTTTCTTAGTATAAATTAATTTTCTAATATTTTCTAAGAATATTTCTATACTTTTTGCACTATTTTCGAAATCATCAAGAATTTAGAGAACATTTGTTTTAAACTATCATTAAGCTTAAGGCTACCTATTTTTTTTTATATTACACAAAAGGTTTTTGAACTATAAATCATAGAAAAGGATTTTGTGTGATTCACTAATCTCGGTATGTTTAATGGCGGAGTTGCGTTGAATATTGTTGACTTTCTTTATATAGAACTGAATGTCTATTGTAGCGCCATTATACAATGGGTTTTTTAATTAAAATGCTGCGTGTGTTTTGTAATTAGTTTTATTATCACTCGTTTTTTTTGATAATTTACAGCTCAAGCTATGTCATGTATTTTTCAACCATAATATCTGTTAATTTGTTTGTGTTGGGAGGGCAACATTTACTGTAATATGATATTAGGAATCTAAATTTACTTTCAGAATATGTACTCTTTCAAACGGTTGTCTTCTTGTATTCAGTATTTATTCATGTTTTTCTCTTACTTTCAATATCATTATGTTCAATAATGTCTTTTGTTTCAGTTGGAGCGGGATCAGCAGGATCAGTAATGGCCAATAGACTGTCAGAGGACCCGGGTACAAGAGTATTACTCCTAGAAGCAGGCGGTCATGAAAACATATTAACCGACATTCCATTAGCTGCCGCTATGATCCAACGAACACCTCTAGACTGGGCCTACCAAACGGAACCACAAAAAGTTGCTGGTTTTGGACTTGTTAACAGAGTATGTCAGTTTTGTTTGAAGCTAATGTACGCTCTGAATCTAAAAAAAATTGTTTTGATAGTACAAAACAGCAATATTTAAGCTCTATAACAGTAACCGAATTATTCGTGAACAAAGTTTATGGTTAAAAGTTGTTTTAGGATTACGATGTACGTGATGTATTTTGTTCGTAATTAAGTGTTATTTAAAAACTGGAGTTTGTAAAATTGTGAGTTGTCGATAAATATAGATATAGAAAATAAGTAGTTGTTTTGGAGAACAATCTTCACTTCCTGAGGTATTCTTCCGTCATAACACATTTCCAAAATTTATGCTAGAAGTCTTATAATAATGAAAGAATCACTGTTCGAGGTCACTGCTGAAAACGACTTTTTAAAATTAAAGTAGTGGTTTCTTCTACCGATTTTTAGTAAGAGTTCTCTGTTCTTCATGTCTTTCATTTTCTATCATTTAATTTCTCGTGTATCCTATGTTAGGTTCTTGCATGACTTTTCACTATAGTTGGGATTAACACTGTCTAATTTTTTCACATTAATGATGTTTTTGACAGTGTTAGGCACCTTGCATCATACGATATACTGTTTTTTGCACAATGAAAATACTGCATACTTCCCAAGGGATGCTTATTAAATTTGCTTGGAATTCAAACTACATTTCGAACATATGCACACAACATGATATATCATATATCAGGATTGATATAACACTTAACACAAATATAACTTTTTCATCTTATTCTGTCATCATCTCAGAAAGCACGGAATGCAGATTTTTGACGAAGTATTTTAACCTTATAGATTGTCGTTACTTGGGATTTGTAGGGAAGCTATAAATCACCACTAGTAATATCTGTATAATCTCATCAAAACAGTTTCACACAGAACTCCACGTTTAGGTATTCTGGCCTTATCAATCGTGCCCCAAGTTGAACAAAAAACGCTGCCTTGCTAACGAATGAATGAGTATTTGCTGTAAAATTATTATCAGTGCTATAAGTGTAGCTACCAGTTTGACCAATTTTGCTTTCAATCCTTTGTTGGCCGCACCTTTTTTTCACTCCTAAGGTGTTTTTGATTAGGTGTTATTAGTTTGGCATAACTGAAACGTACTATGGATTGTTCTTTATTTTGCTTGGCTGTTTCTATTGTCTATTATTTTAATCAGTTATAGAAGTTGTGATCACTAATTCTCACAAGTTGGAAAAGTAGGAAATATAAATACTTGTAGTGGGATCTAATCCTCGTCGTGAAATAGAACAATTTTGAAAACATATTTTTGGCTGTGGAATACTTCTTTCACTCCTTTTATGGTTCTATTGAACATTATTAAGAAAGTTGTGTTTTTTCTTCTAGGTACACCTTTGTATGACTGGAAAGTGCAAAATTATTAAACTTTGGTATTTGTAACTAAACCAAGATCTGTTTTGTTTTAGCTTCCTGAAACTCCCCAGCAGGCAAATCACGTGGACTAAGATATAGATCCTTGACATTTTACTGAATTTAGAGTGCCGCGCAAGTTTGGATCACGTGCTGAAAATGGAAATCTTGGCATGATAAACGTCTGGAAGACTTTTAATTGAAGTACTTTCGCTTCTATTAAATGCCTTTGGTGATTAAAGTTCGTGTTCTTTTCTTTACATTTTCACAATTGAAGATATTGTGGTGGTGCTTTTATCTTCTGGTTAAGAACTGGTTTTCATAGCTTAATGGCAAGATCTCCTAGCAATATAAATTGGAATTATTTCCGGCAATGGAGGATGATGCGGAAAAAACAACTGGAGGTAGACATAACATCACACTCGTTTAGATAGTAGTTGCCAACACTACTGGTTTTGTCGTTAAAGTGATATTTTATTTGACCTCATATCTTTCTAGTGGTTTATTCAATATTTCCTTCGTTGCATCTCGGACATGTGAACGCATATACTACTAGCAAGGCATTCAGTGGATGTTGTTTGTCTATGAAGTTGAAGAGTCGTTTTTACATATACTCTGTTTTAAAGACACATTTTAACTGAACTTGTGGATACAGCTTTTTGACCAATTTCTGCTAAATAATGTATAAAATAGTGCCTAAATATGGCGTCACTAGAGTAACAGTTTTCTTTAGAACATCAACATACCAAGAGATGGGGTGTTTTGATTTTTAGCTTTCTGTGGATTGTTTTATTTAGGAATTACAATTTCTTAGTTTGTTTAATGTTCCCAACTTCTGCTTCAAAAAAGGTTTTAATTTCTTAATATCTTAAAGGCTTTCAATAATAAGATTTTCACCAGAATTTATTTAAAAATTAAAGGAATGAAACTTTCAAAAGTGAATAAAATGCAGTGAAAATGGTTTTACAATACTGTTGCGTATCTGTTCGTTTGTTAATTTCCAGTATAACTTCTTTCCGAGGAACTTCGGCGATACAAGTCCTTTCTTAATTAAAACTAGTTTATTCTTTCTCGATACAACTTTGTAATACACAGAATTTCCACCGTCACTTTAAACTTAACAACCTTTATAACACACGCTATAAATCACAGCGATTCACACACTTTACTTACGGTGCCTTCTGTTCCCTTGACTCAATTATCTATCTCTGCCCTTGCGCTGGTTTTTCTCGCCAGGCTTATATACTAAAAAAGAGGGCGTCTAGCAAACACTCGGACATTCGCGGGGTTCCCCGATAATTCTAGAAATTTCAGCATAATTTCAACCGACTCAGCATAATTAAACACCAACAAAGTATCATCAACATATTTTCTGTAGTACATGAGCCTAAAGCGTTCATGACAGAACTGTAACCACACTTTTTCATGGAAACACGGGAGAAAAACTGAAGATGATAACCACTCTATCAATCTGTTCATAAATGTTACCATTAAACATAAAATGCGATTGTTTCTTCGGAAAACGTAAAGTTGTGTTAAAAACATATTTAGTTATACCTCGCACAATTTCAATTCCAGCAAACACAAGGCTGGAACGAAAATCAGTGATTTCGATATTATTATTAGTATAATTAGGGGCGGATTTAGGCGGGGGCTGTAGTCCCAGGCTTGGATTCAAAACAAGCCTGATACGATGTTTAGTTTGTTTTTACTTTAGTCACGATCATAATAGGCCAGGTAGAAAAATTTAGCCCCAGACCCGTCTGACCCACAATCCCTCCCTGAGTACAATGAACATCATCATTAAGCTGGTGCTTAAAGGTGTTGACAAATTTAAAATTATCTTTAAAAGAACATTCATTTTGTTTAAATGTTTTCAAAAAACAGGGTCATGAATCTTGCTACTAGTTGATCGTAGGTGCCTGCACTAGAAGCTGTTGGTTTTACTGGACATTCCTGTTTGTGAACCGTAGAGAGTCCATATAAAACAGGGTCATGAATCTTGGCACTAGTTGATCGTAGGTGCCTGCACTAGAAGCTGTTGGTTTTACTGGACATTCCTGTTTGTGAACCGTAGAGAGTCCATATAAAACAGGGTCATGAATCTTGGCACTAGTTGATCGTAGGTGCCTGCACTAGAAGCTGTTGGTTTTACTGGACATTCCTGTTTGTGAACCGTAGAGAGTCCATATAAAACAGGGTCATGAATCTTGCTACTAGTTGACTATAAGTGCCTGCACTAGAAGCAGTTGGTCTTACTGGACATCTCTGTTTGTGAACCGTGGGGAGTCCATATAAAACCCAACACTGCGAGCCCATTGGTTTGTTGTTTTGGTATATTTCTTCTGCTATGACGCCGTCATAAAACTTTCAAAGTATGGGTTTCGAACCTTATTTAATTATTGATCTTGTTTTTTCTAGGTAACTTCAAGAGGGCACAAACAGTGACTTAAGTTTTAACCTGTTCAAAAGTTTTCCACCTAGTGTTAAAAATTTGACAGACAATTGTAAAAAAGTTTCAAAACTTAAAAAATAATATTTTTCAGTAACTTTCTTAGAGAGAGAATAGAAAACTGTAACTCCTTGGTTAAGATACTTTTGTCATCATCAGATAAATGGTAGTCTGGTAAATTATGAAAAATTATCTGAGTGTTTCACGAAGGAATACCTACGTCTATGTTTTTAAGGCCATTGAGTTTAGTTAAACGTTAAAATCTACTCTCTGATATAGCTTTATTTTAAATTTCCTAGGTTTAGGAAACTAACCCTGTTTTTTATTTGATTTTAAACCTTCTTCTAATTGTTTCTCTTGGATTTTATTTTAACAGCTTTATCTTTAATTTCCAAGTCCAGAAATGTATTTCGATATTGTTTGTATTCACCAGAGAAACATCATTTTTTACTGCAACCTTAAACTGAAGAAATCTGGTGAAAAGATGCTCATTTTTTAGGAGAAACGTTTTATGCAAAATATTTTTATGTTGTTTGGAATGAACTATATGTAATTTTCTAAACATTTGTAAATTGTTCCTATCATATATGTGTAAAAATAATACCATGACTTGAAACATTGGACCAGTTAGTGTGGAAAGGTATGTGAAGAAGTAACGTTAGGGGGCACGCTGTTCAGTGAAATATGTCTCTGCAAGTGAAATCCCCTATGTAGCTGTTATAAACTTTCATGTATACTGTTTTGGAAGCTAACGTAGAATACTAGCGGAAAATTTGTCCACGATTGACCTCGCCGTTCTCTGCAGAAGCTTGCTAGAACGGAATCGCAGTGTCCAGTGATAACGCAAGGCCATCAGAACAGGATTGAACGACAACGGGCCTACCATTGTGATTAACGTGCAGGATATGTCTTAACTTTAACCTGTAACTTTTTTACTCATCTATTCTAAATTAAAAATATAATATTTATTTATTGAAACGTCATTTCGATAAGTCGTTTTTTAAATAGCATATGTAAATAATGTAAACGACATTTACTACAAAATATATATAAAACGGAACTGTTAAAAAAAAGTTTGAGTATAAACGTTTAAGTAATGGCAACCTATAAAACCTACAGCTTTGGCAGTTGGTACAGGGGTTTGAAAAAAGTGGGACTCATTTGTAAAAACAAAACTTAAACAGTCCATAAGCGATGCTGCAAGGTGACTTTTATATCGTATTTGCTTTTTATGTGACGTTATAAGGAATTTCAATTAAAAGTGCGCGTTTGATGTCAGAGTTTATTCATTCGTTCATCGATTAGTATGACTGCTGTAAATACTCAATGTCAACAGTTGAGAAAACAGTAATATTCAACATTGAACGATTCACATCACTGGAGATACAACCCATGCTACTGTCTGTCATGTGTTACCTTGCCTGGAGTTTGTTGTTGAAATGGGTAAAGGCTTGATACGAATTACATTAAGACTACTGTAACTTGAGATCGAATACAATTTACTGCTATGGTATTGCTTTTTTATAAATGTGTTCCACTTATGTTTTATACACGTGTACATTTATGTCCAAAGTTTTTGTTTTTTGTTTCAGTTATAATTACTAATTACTGAAATGCATTAGAAAAGTTTAACACACAAAATGTGAGTAAGAACTCCTGATGGAAAGAGTAATCATTATTTTAATAGACTTCCTTAGTAAAGTAGAACATTTATTTATTTATTACGTCAGCAGTATACGTCAGCACTGGAAATTCACTATAGACTTAGGTGGCTTGGATTTTAATTGTTTGATAATCTTTTTTAAGTTTTTCTTAAACAGCAATTGGTCCATAGTATATATTGCTTCCGTGTAACTGAAGTTCTGTGCTGAGTTACATGTTGTTAAATGTGTTTTATGTTCAAAAACAGATACTAAGGTGAAGATGAGGTTATTATTAGGTTACAATGTTAAAATGTATTTTTTAGTTTGTTATATTTGCTTAAAGAGAGAACTAGTTTTCTCGCGCTATTAAAATAAAAATTTTAAATCCACTGAATAACATGATGTTTAGAGGAGTTTTAGGCACAGGAGATTGCATTAGATCTGAAATTTTATGGACTGCATCAGCATAGACACCGACGTGTTGTCCACTTCTTGTCACCTGGCAGATGCAGTCCATAAACACTCAAATCCATAACATGATGTTTACTTCAATATCTTTGTATAAACGCATTCGAGTGAACACATTTTAAGTTATTCGATTTTCTAATGTGCTGAAGTACACGGTATTTATGCACTGTTTTATCCATTACAAAAAAGAGACTCAGGTGGCCTCGGGGTAAAGTGTTAGGCGGCTCCAGTGTTTTAAATTACATGCTGTACATTCGAGGAAATCGACGAGACTACGACCGCTGGGAGCGAGAGCATGGTGCCTACGGCTGGGGTTGGAATGATGTATTTCCTTATTTTTTAAAGTCAGAAGACAACAGAGACCCTTTACTGGCGAATAATGGTAGGATAGGTTTACTTAATATTATTTAATTATATTCCAAACAACAAACAGCGTTAAGTATTGGTAAAGTTGAAACTCTTCAATAGAAATAATTTTAGGTAGGGTCATGCACGAGGTGGAGAAGCATTGTCCCACTTCTCCAAAAACCCTATGCACAGAAACCCTGTCAATCTGGTGAGTGTAGTTCTGTTTATTTCTATGCATATTGTTACGTATTACAATTTCGAAAGGTCTGAAATTGAGTTAAATGATACCTTAAATTTAGTAGTTAAATTGTACTTTGGATTTAGCAGTTAAATAAAAGCCGATATATAGTCAGTTTATGATATTTGCCAAGAAAATTGATATACACACAGTTTTCTTTGTTCTATACAAATGTTTTAATATATAAACAACAATAACAATTTACAATAACAGTTATTACAATAGTTATTACACACAATGATTTATATATAAAAAA